AGAAATATTCCGCTTTTATTACGAGCAACCACAATGCCTAAAAAATATTTTAGTTTTCCCAAATCTTTCATATGAAACCAATTGCTAAGATAAACCTTGAATTGAGCGATGGTTGTACTATCGATCTCATTACTGGCAATAACCAAATCATCAACATAGACCAGGATACTCATTGTAATGGATCCCTTTTGATACACAAATAAGGAATTATCAGAACTGCTAGCAGAAAAACCATATGTGCATAAAGCACCGGCCAACATAGCATACCAAGAACGAGGAGCTCGTCGCAAACCATAAAGATATTTACGAAGCCTACATACCTTTCCAGGTCTGCCGATGCTAAAACCAAGTGGAAGTTTCATATACACCTCTTCGCTGGGATCGCCGTGAAGAAATGTGTTGCGCACATCCATTTGATGCAATATCCAATTCTTGGCAGCGGCTACTCTTAGAAAGGTTCGAACTGTCACCATCTTCACGGTGGGAGCAAAGGTTTCACTAGAGTCTACACCTTCAGTTTGATGATTACCAAAAACAACTAGTCGTGCCTTGTATCGTTCGACAGTACCATCAGAGCGGTGTTTAATGCGGAATACCCACATGCATCCAATAGCAGACTTTCCATGAGGTATATCCTCTATACTCCATGTTTTATTGTCCTCTAACGCTTTTATCTCATCTTCTATGTCCTTTCTCCAGCGAGGATCACACATTGCTTCTTTAAAAGAAGTAGGTTCTTTTTCAGCTGTAATTGCTGCAAGATAATGACGATGTGCAAAAGAAAAAGCATTACAATTCACAAAATGAGTTATGGGATAGGGAGTGCAGCATTTGTGGGGGGCACTTGTGTTGTAAACGTCACATAATCTCAATAGCCTACGCTCAGAAACTTCTGAGGTCTTCCCCTACCAAGATTCTCGCTAGTGACATCGTCTGCTATTTGTTCTTCTTCATGATTTTACATAGTATCCTCATGCGTTACTGTGTCGTTGATTCCGTGTTGGGAAATTCTCTCAGAGGAACATGCTTCATTTTCCACTTCGTGCTCTGGATTAGAGACTTCCTGATTTTGGGAATCTGCCACTGTAGCCAACTTCTCCATTTGTGTGTTATCTTGCATAGCCTTTAGCTGGTCAGTGGATTCTCCTTCTGGACCAACTGGTTGTGTAGTATAATTATCTGTATGGCTAGCTTGATTTTCAACAAATGTCACACTTTCTAGCTCACCTTCCAAATATATACGTCGGATTTAAATGCACCACTTCACTTTTATTTGCAAACAGAAAAATAATCTCATAAAATACCACATCTCACGACTCAAGATAATCCCCGGTTTCCAAATTAAACAAATTCCTAATTAGTTAGGAATTATCCATCAAGCACTGATGGAGAAAATTGTTGAGCTGTGTCATAAAGCACTTAATTAAATCAAGTCATCTTTACCGGATTTTTGTTTGCATTTGATATTTTTAGAATGAAAATCAGGGAATTAAGTCTGACACTGAAGTGAGAGAATTGTTTGAGAAGATTTGAGACATCGAAGTGATTTTGAAGTCAATGGAGCTCAATGATCAAGTACGGGAACGAATGTGGACTCAAGGAGCATGAAAACAGCTATTTGGACAACCGCCCAACTCGTAACTTTGAATCAGGATGATGCTTTGTCACACATTTAAGAATATCTTTTCGTAGAAACATCCAAATGAAACAATTCAAGTTTCTATGAAATACAACTCAATGGCCTACAAATCATACAAAGACGCCATAACGAAAATGTGAGAGGATCAAGATGAAAACAAACGAGGAAGTCAAATAATCATTGTTCAGATTTTAGTATGCGACTTTCCAACATTAATCCACATCTTTTGATTTGATAATTCAATTCCAAATTTTCATATTTTGATGGATAAAGGACTTCATTAGTTTCAACTTGGCTGAAGGAGGCATAGCCAAATTCGGACGAGAGGTGCGCACACAAAGCACGGAGGCTTGGAACTCACATGATGGTGCGCACGCCGTGCGAAGGTATTTTTAAGGAAAATCTTCAGTCGCGCGCACGGCAGCACACACGGCATGCGCACGGGCGCGCACGGGCCCGTTTCTCCTCAAAAAAGCCCAATTTTGACCGTTTTTCATTATTTTCTATTTAAATAGCCTATAAACTCAAATTTTAGGTTTTACGGAGCTTTGAGAGAGTGCATAGGACGAAATTTTTAGTGGTTTCAACCTTGGATTATTAAGATTCTATCATTAATTATTTTTAATTAATGACAAATAATTTATACTTTTTATAATGTGTACTATAACCATTGTTCTAAAAATCGCTCTGTGTCTGACTAGTCCCCGCCTAGGCGCTAGGCGGTAGCGATTTTAGTCTAGGCACTCTTATTAATTGATTTGATAGTAAGTGAATTAGTCGGATGCCTAGGCCTACCTAGGGCGTCTAGTTGCGCACTTCCGCACCTAGAGCACTTAATCGGCCGCCTAGGCGTCTCGATTCGTGGAACATTTTATTTTTCTTTTTTATTTTAGTATTATAAGAGATATATGTACCTTTAACTGTAACAAGACATATGAAGAAAGTTGCATATATATACTAGTTGTTGATTAAGATAAAAACTATACATGCTTATATATAATCTTAAGTGTTATTATTATTTAATAATATTTATTTATTACATAATAAAGTTAAGTGAGTAGATATAATACTCCGTATATTATTAATGTGACAACTCTATCATTCATGCATGTTAATGTGTATGTGAGTGTATATATATTTTTTACAATCACACAAACACAACATTACTAATCATGTTTATGCAAAAATATTGATAAAACTATAAATTATATATCTCCGACTCATCCACGCCTAGGCACCCGCCACGCCCGACTAACGCCTAACGCCTTTTAGAACATTGATTGTAACTATCTTAAATTACGTGCAAAAGCAAATGAGACAAATAATGTGAGAGTTTTTTCCACTTTTAGTCCTCCGACTATTATGTTATTGACACTTTTGGTATTCGACTTTGATTTTTTCATTTTTAGTCCTTCACTATTGCGCTAGTGACACTTTTGGTACCCGTCTTTGAAAATTTCCTTATTTGGTCTTTCAACTTTCATAAAAGAGACACTTTTGATCCTTCAACTACTATAATAGTGACATTTTTAGTCCTCCACTTATTGTGTCAAAATCATAATAAGAGGACTAAAAGTGTCAATTTAACAATACTCAGGGACTAAATGTGGGAAACCTTGAAGTCGAGCCAGTTCGGGCCAATTTTTTTTTTTTAAATTTGAAAAAGGTAAATGGGTTGGGCTGTGTGTTTTGGACAGGTTTGGGGTGTGGGGGTGAGGGGGTAGGAAGTAATTAGAAAATCAAAATAAAAAAAAAATAAGAAGAGACTGGGTCGAACCGGCCCGAACCAGCCAGGGGCCGACCCGGAACTTGTAGCTACCCGGGCCGATTCCGGGCCTCAAGGTTCCCAAAAAAAGCCCAGTCAAGCTCGGCCCGAGGCCTGGCCCGCACCGAGTCCATGTCTGGCGAAGGTGTCCTGTCTTCGGTGTCCACTCACGTAAATGAAGAAGACGGGTGAGAGCGACAAACCAGGTGAGCGGGAAAGGACTTCTCACTAGCAGAAAACCTGAGAGAGAAAAGGAAAAGGAAAGAAAAAAGAAGGGAGGAAGAACTTCACATGCAGGGAGCCAATGAAGAAGAAAAGAAAAGAAAGAAACAAAAAGAAAATGGAAAATAAAAAAGAAAAATATGCCACATCATACACCGAATACAAAATTTGACCAACAACCGAAAGATCACTAGCTAAAAAACGATTCGCCTCGTTTTTAATGGTTCGTGGGTTTAATTAGGTGGTGGGCCTATTTTTGGTGGACTTGGTTCACATTTTTGTAATAGTAGGGGGGCCTATTTGACTAGGGGTGGACTCGGGTCTGGGCCGGGTCCAGGTCGGGCCTAGGCTCGGGCGGGCTGGCGGTTCAGGAATGGTGGACCCAGGACCGGCCCGGGTAACCACCGGGTCCGGGCCAGGCCGGGCCTCCAGTTTGGATTTTTTTTTTTGCTTTCCTAACTCCCCCCCCCCCCCCTCACCCCCACCCTCCCAAACCCCCCCAAACTAGGCTTGGACTCGGTGCGGGCCACCCGACCCAGGAACTGGCCCGGCCCGCTACTGTGCGGGACCTGACCGGCCCGAGAAACCGGGTCCGGTTCCGGTTTGGGCCTAGGCCCGGGGGGTCTACCGGTTCCGGGCACGGGTAAGGGAAAAGGGGAGCCATCCCGGCCGGGCTGGGCCCAGTTCAGGCCTTTTTTATTTTATTTTTTTGGTTTGGGCTCGGGTTAGTTGGGTTGGGCTGGGTATTTCCGAGGGGTTTGGGGGGTTGGGGGGATGGGGGTGGGGGTGAAATAAATAAGAATAAAAAAAATGAACCGGAAACAACCCGGCCCGAAACCGGTCAAGACCCGAGCCGGTCTCGGGCCTATGGATACGGAACCGGCGGCCCAGCCGAGCCTAGGCCCGACCCGGGCCCGACCCAGTCCGAGTCCAAGCCTACCACAAACCCATCCTACCCATCAAACCCAACCCAGGTGGAACCCCAAAAATGAAAAAAAAATAAAAAAAAAATTCAATTTGGCCCAGGCCCGGGCCCGACCCGGCCGGTTCACCAAATTTGAGACCCGAGCCCGGACCCGCCCTACCCCCTGGGCCTAGGCCCGACCCGGACCCGGACCTGAGAACCGGGCCGGTCCCGGTCCCGCACAGTAGCGGGCCAGGCCAGTCCACAGGCCGTGTGGCCTGACCCGAGTCCAACCATATATTTGACCCCTTTTCCAAATAAAAAAGAACAAAGGATAGAAAACATAAGATAGAAAAAGAAGATAAAGGGAAACAAAGATGATAAGAGATCAATCCGCAATACAAATACCCGACCTCCACTTGTTTTCTCCAAAGTCATACCCTCATTTAACCCAAAAAGACGCATGTCACTCCATCCAAGCAGCGTTATCATTGACAAAATGATAAGAACTCCAAATATCCAGAAATTACAGAAATTAATATCAATGAACAAGGTAATCTTTATTGAAGAAGAACAGTAATCTATACAAAGGCCAAAGCCCCCAAAGCCGAAGCCCCAAAAGATAAAGATGTTTAGTCTCCAATCTTTCCCAGTCCCAAGACTAATGTCTAAAAAGCCTCCTTACTACTTTTTCCCCTTCCCATCTATTTATACTAGAGACCCTTATTACTAATACTCCCTCCGTCCCGTTGGAATGTTCCCGCTTTCCTTTTTTGGATGTCCCGTTGGAAAGTTCCCATTTCCCTAAATGGAAAGTTATCCTACATCAAAACAGGGTCAAACAGTGCAAAACAGGGTCAAACAGTGCAAAACAGTGTCAAACAGTGTCGAAACAGTAAAATTTACCCCCTGGTAAGTTTATTTCCTTAATATGTGTGTAGGTCAAACCGGGAACATTCTAACAGGACGGAGGGAGTATTATTATTATTACTTCTAATGTTATTCTAACAAGAGAGAGTGCTGAGGCAACTGATGAAGACTTGAAGTAAAAAACAAGGCAAATAGGTTTGCCTCAGGGCCCACCAGTTTTCTTCAACTTGGTTCCATTTTCTGAGGGCCAATAGGTTAGAAATGGAATGCTCAGATGTTTTATCCCAAATAGTGTAAAACTAAATTGAGTAACCATTGAACGTTTGTAGTTTGTACAATAATAAACTGTCATACACTGCTAACGCTTTTAATTATCCCAAGTTTTTGCAGTTCAATTATTGTCCATCACAGTGGTGAACATTTGTGGGTAAACAGAAGCAGATAAGCAGGTAACTAATCAAGCTTCATTACAACTAACCAGCAGACAAGCTGATATATTAGCTGCTACTCTTCACATCCACTTCGTGCTAGAGGCTCGGGAAACTTCAACTTGAAATGCTAAAATATCGAATATACAATGACTTAAGGCTCATAGCAGCTCCGAACCCCAAAACTGATGACAGTGGTATTGAATAAATGGGTGGTAAATGAAGCTGCCAAACAGATATTTTCATCCATCAGTTACCCCTCTTAGGGGGGGGGGGGGGGGGCAAGAAAATGAAGGCCCAAATATAAGTACCAAGACAGAAACCCCTTGAGATCTAAAAAGTTTTGATGATTTAACCGGATTCCCTTCCCCACTTTCAGAACCAATATTGATACATTTTATCATTTCTTGTAGTAAAGGGGGGGGGTGCATGGGTGGGTGGTTGTTTAGAGCATACTCCGTATATTCTATGATAATTATGTAGGGGAAGGGAACAAATATATCTTTGAACTATATGCGATGACATACATATCTTTAACTTTTTTAGGAACAATTAAACCCAAAAATATCAAAAATTAGAACTATACCTCTCTTAAACGGAATCAACTTTTTAAAATTCTTTGTTTTTAAGCCAACCATGGTTTTAATTTTTTTTTACTAACTTCTTTATTTAGGTGTAATATATTGAACTGAATGTTTTTCTATGAGTGCTCATATGAGACCAATATTGCATATGTAATATTAAAAAGGTTATTGAATAAAATATGAATAATAAGTAATAACAAACCAAGCAACACCTATGATAATTACTTTACTTTTTAAAACACACTAAATTTGTTATTTTTTCACTCATTTTAGACCACAAATTTGATAGCAATAGATTTGCTGTTACATTATTAATTGAAATGAGAGAACTGATGGGTGGACATAGTGAAAGAAACAAGTATTCTGATTTATGGAGAGTAATTGTTAAAGCACCAAAGAAAAAACAGAACAGGAATAGTATTGGCTTTCTAAAATATAAATACAAGCTAAGTTACCATGGAGTAGAAGAGGAAAAGGATCATAGCCACAAGTGCAAATTCTAGAGCCGCATATGCCCATATGTACTCTTTAATGGCTGCATATAAAGAGATTATTTTCTTAACAAAAAATGATTATATCAGAATAACTAAAGTTCAAGTAGTACAGCATATATACAAAATTACAAATATACCTTGAATGACTGCAAAAATAGAAGACAAAAGGCCCAGAGTAAATGAGAATGTTGAGGCAATCACAAGTGCCTTATTTTTCATGCCATTTATCTGCAAAAACAGGGTGATCATAGTTACATAGCTGATATTATTTGTGTAAAACAGTATCACAGCATATGGCTCTTGGAGGTTCACCACTCCTCAGAAAGTGCGAAAAAAATCTTAAAATTTTGATGAAACTATTTATGTGATGAGTAGAAAATCATATTGAAATTGGTATAAAAATGATTAGCTCATTATTGATAATAGTGGATTAAAAAATCTCATTTTCATTAAAGAAAATATTAAAATTTATTTGATTTCTCGAAAAGAAAATATTAATATTTTAAAAATAATTTTCTTTATTAATATATTATTATGTACTCCACATCAACATACACTTTATGTGGTGAGAAAAATCAGTCACCCTGTTTGCACGTCAGCAAAACAAAGGATCACAAGGTGCCACATCAGCAAAAAAAGGAAGGAGGCATGGGATTAGGAATACATCGAGTTGTAACTATCTTGACCTAACTAATATTGTTGAGCTGTGATCTGTTAGTTAGTTAGATAAGAAGCTTCTGTACTCTTATAAATGCATTGTAATAGCATCAGTTACAATGAATAACAGAATTCCATTTCTTCATTCTTTCTCTTGTTCGGTTTATCAACATGGTATCGAGAGCTTGATTTTCGTCGATCATGGCACCTTCGTCTACCACCGTTTCTTCCACCGGAAATAATCTTTTTCCAGTGAGCTTCTCGCATCCATTTCCGCTCAAACTAGACTCGAACAACTTCCTTTTCTGGAAACATCACGTTGAATCAGTCATACGAGCTCACAAGTTGTTGAAATTTGTCATCAAACCTGATATACCACCTCGCTTCCTCAACGATGAACAGAAAACTACCGGAATTGTCAACGAAGCTCTCATCTCCTAGAAACAGCAAGATCAAATGCTATTTTCATAGCTACTCTCCTCGCTATTTGAGACTTTGCATGCTCGTGTATATTCATTGCACGAGATCGTATCAGCTCTGGGCTTAAATTCTTCCAAGCGAACATCATTGCGAAGGCGAGACAACTTAAATCTGCGCTTTATTCAACTGTCAAAGGTGATCGATCCATATCTGAGTATCTTCTCAAAATTTAAACAATATGTGACAATCTGGTATCTATTGGAGAACCAATTTCAGACAAATATCACATCAATGTCATTCTCGAAGGTTTACCGGAAGATTATGAATCTCTAGTTTCATCAATTTCTGCTCGAAGTGTCTTGGATCCAGCTACATACTCTGAGGTTGAATCCTTACTTCTCGCAAAAGAGATGCGAATTCGCAAGCTTCGTGAATCCTCACAGAATACCTTGTTATCAGCAAATATTGCACGTGTTGAAGATCTCTCCCTCAACCCTTCTCAGCAACAAAATTCAAGTGAAAACTCAGCTCAGTTTGCTCAATTTGATGCTACACACCAAGGAGGTTATCAGTCCAGAGGAAGAGGACATAATTCCAATTCCAAAGGTGGTTCTTGAGGAGAAGGTCAAGAGGAAGATCATTTGTTATCTGCCAAGTTTGTGGAAAATCAGGACACGATGCTCTCATGTGTTACAATCGCTTTAACCCTAGCTACAATTCTCAGGCTTCTAATTCTACAGATAACTGGAACAAACATCAAATTTCTACCTATCCTCCTTTTCACATGCCTCGTCCTCCACAATTCTTACAACAAACTTCATCACCAATGTTTCTGTATCATCAACCTGCACCTCCTCTCCCTCCTACTGAAAATTCAAATTGGAATTCACAGTTCCATGCTCCTGCTGCTTGGGCTTATGCAAATTCATCCATACTGGGACCAGCACCACAACAACTCAACTCTGAGCCCTGGTTTCCGGATTCTGGAGCAACTCTTCATGTGACTGCAAATCCTTTAAACATTCAACATCATGAGTCATCTGCTCCACCTACTGATAAACTCTTTATGGGCAATGGACAAGGTTTGGACATTAAGTCGACTGGTTTTTCTAATTTCCTATCTCCTTACAATTCATCTTTGTCCCTAACTCTTCAAAATATGCTCTATGTTCCTAATATTACTAAAAATCTGATCAGTGTAAGTTTGCCAAAGATAATGATGTCTTCTTTGAATTTTACCCTTATGAATGTTGCCAAATCTCAGGGTTCTAAACAGGTTCTTATGCATGGTATGCTAGGCAGTGATGGTCTCTACAGATTTGAGTCTTTTCCAGATTTGACTTCAGTTCAAGATGCTCTTGTTTGCAATCTGAGTCAACACTTCACTTGTAGTTATGATTAGTCAACTAATAATAGTATTGTTTCTTCTTGTTTCAACAATCAAAGTTCATGTAATAAGTCTGTTCAAAATCAGTCTTCTTTACAGTCTAGTAATAGCAATGTTGTGTGTAATCTTTGGCATCTTAGACTTGGTCGTCCTCATTTTGAGGCATTGAAGTTTGTTCTCAAACAGTGTAATGTTTCTAATACATCTAAGAATGATATAAATTTCTGTTCTGCTTGTTGTCTTGGTAAAGCACATCGCTTACCATCTCATTCTTCCACAACTACATTTTGTACTCCATTTGAAATCATTTTAACTGATCTATGGGGACCAGCTCCCATCACTTCTTTTGATGGCTATTTTTACTATATTGATTTTATTGATGCTTACACTAGATATACTTGGATCTACTTTCTCAAATAAAAATTTGAAGCTCTTGTAGCCTTCAAAAACTTTCACTCTTATAGTCTTATGTCAATACTCAATTCATGTGTTCTATAAAATCTATCCAATCTGATTGGGGTGGTGAATTTAGATCCTTTAATCAATTTCTAACTGAAAAGGGCATTACACACAGACTAATCTACCCTCATACACACCATCAAAATGGTGTAGTGGAACGCAAACATAGATCTGCTGTAGAAAAAGGTCTCAGTTTACTTGCTCATTCATCTCTTCCGGGAATTTTGGGTGCTGTGTTTCCTGTTTCTGTTCATCTCATTAACAGAACACCCTCAGCTTCCATTTCAAATCAAGTCCCTTATATAGTTATACTAAACCTTACAATACTAAACTTTATAACTTTGTTCAAGTTTTTGGGTGCTCTTGTTACCCCTTTCTCAGACCATATAATAAACACAAGTTTGATTTTCACTCTGAAGAATGTGTTTTTCTAGGGTATTTACCTCAACATAAAGGCTACAAGTGTTTAGCTTCTATTGGCAGAATCTACATATCTAAGGATGTTATCTTTAATGAGTCAAAATTTCCTTATCCCTATCTTTTCTCTTACTCATCTGATATTGTCATTTCCAATCCAACTTCTAATACACCTTTATAACTGTTCTACAGAGTCCTATTTCCTCATCAAATACAGTTTCAGATTCATCTGTCTCTTCATCTTCTCTACATAATCAATCTTTCTCACATTCTTCACAATCTTTCACTCCTACTTCTTCTAATTCTACTAATTCAACGTCTTCCAATACTGAGTCTATAAATTCTGATTCACCTATCATCAATCCTCAATCAGTCTCTCTTGTTCCTTCCACTAACATTCATCCTATGAACACTAGAGCTAAATCTGGAATAGTACAACCTAGACTTAATCCAACCTTGCTCTCTTAGCCCATACTGAGCCAACATCAGTTAAAATAGCCCTAACCTCACCTGAGTGGCATAAAGTTATGCAATCAGAATATGTTGCATTGATGTCCAATAAAACATGGTCTCTTACTTCTCTGCCACCTGATAAACAGGCTATTGGATGCAAGTGAGATTCTATGGCTTCAGTATTTTCTTCGGGAAATACAAGTTCCATTTTCAGTTCCTCAGATTTACTGTGACAATCTTAGTACAGTTCATCTAGCACATAATCCAGTCTTTCATTTCAGGAGTAAACATATTGAACTTGACCTCCACTTTGTCAGAGAAAAGATCTTTCATAAGAAGCTTCAAGTTCAACATATTCCTGCCCCCTATCAAGTTGTTGATGTGCTAACCAAAGCCCTTTCCACCTCCAGATTCCTTGAGTTGAAGACTAAACTCAATGCGATTGAATTTCCAACCAAATCACAATGAGTTTGAGGGGAAATATTAGGAATACATCGAGTTGTAACTATCTTGACCTAACTAATATTGTTGAGCTGTGATCGGTTAGTTAGTTAGATAAGAAGCTTATGTACTCTTATAAATACATTGTAATAGCATCAGTTACAATGAATAACAGATTTCCATTTCTTCATTCTTTCTCTTGTTCGGTTTATCAACACATGGTGTCTTGTCAACAATAGTTAACGAAGTTATCCCAAAAGATCCTCTCTTTGCTAATGTACCAAACCACATTGTTGTTAAGATCTAGGGCTCCATCCTAAAAGGTCAACCAGATAGGAGAAGTAGCTCAAAGTCTTATATAGTGTTTTATTGTTATATAGCTTTCCGGTGTGGGACAAATATTTTAACCGTCCCCTCAGCCCAAACCGGGCTGAACAATATCAGGGTGTATCAATGGGCCAAACAAACACTTAACAAGCTATCCTTAATCATGGGTGCTAAACAAGTCGTCAAACCACAACCGGACTTGGCTCTGATACCACGTTAAGACTCGGGGTTCCATCGTAAAAGGTCAACCTGATAGAAGGAGTAGCCCAAAGTATTATATAGCATTTTATTGTTTTATAACTTTCCGATGTGGGACAAATACCTTAACAACTGTACGTTTTACACATTTCTCTAAAAACAATTGGCTTCGTTTTTCTATCTTTAAACAGTATCAGAACTTACCAGTAACTTGTGAAGAAAGAAGAAGTAGCATATTGTACTAATCGAGACAAGCACCAGAAAGTCCTGCCAAGCACTGCATTGATATGCAAAATGTAGTTGCTAGTTTACCAAAAGGAAGACAAAACAAGGAAAACATTCTTAGCTACAATGTTACATATGCCTAATCATCATTGCTTGTTTCACAAATAGTGAACATTAATGCCTAGTGGATGTCAGCAAGGTAACTTTTCAAAAGGGAAATTATGACGCAATGTTAATGACAATAATATTAATAACAATAATATCAATATAAAAATAATAGCGATAACAATAACAATAACAATAAGCTTTTAACAAGTAAAACTTATTTATGAGCACATATTAGACTAACAAAATTTAAGCATGGTTTAGAGTACGGGCAGGCATTTGGTTCATTGGCCAACTGAAACAAACCAAACTAATCTGAACCAAAACCGAATTACATCGACTCATTTTTAGTTTGGTAACATTTGCGTCATGACAATATTAAACTAAACTTAACAGAAACCGAATAAAACCAAACCGAATTATAAGTTTCAATAAAACTTTAAAAGAGAGTATTTTTTAGAATTAAGAATCCAAACCAAACCAAAATGAACAAAAACACAGTTTGGTTCTAATTTAAAATTCATTACCCTCTATCCATTTTAAACCGGATTGAAAACTGAAAAAAGCAAACTGAAACACCTAAACTCCCATCCTTCATTTAGAGTATGGAAAGAGGTAGTAGGTAATGACAGTGCCAAAATAACTCTATGGAACCCATTGTCAATGACTGACATTCACCTTAACCTTTGGGAGTTCAAAGTTAGCTGGTTATGGTCCAAGAAAATATCTTCTTTGGCAGTACTTGCCACACGATGCAAGGTTACAGGCAAATTTAGCACTTCATTCCGACAAACCTCACATTTCTTGTTGCCTTTCATGCTAAACCACTTGATTGCACACTCTTCATGCACAAGTCTGAGATCACCTTTGCAGTGGCACTCCATCTTCAATGTAGTGCCTTCATGACATGCTTCAAAGCAGATCCTACACACAGCTTCCTCTTCAGGAATCTGCTGATCCTCATCCACCAGGGCAGGTGTAATTTCTAGTTATTACAAATTTCAAGAAACAGAATTCATTGAGTTCATAGACCAAATGTATCTTCTTCAATAATTTCGGATGAATGGGATATTTATAAAAATCAAGTTTGAATGCCAAGATTTTTTTATTACACTTTCTTCTAATTTGTTAGATAGACTCCCTTTTTTATTTGGCACGAAAATATTTACATTCTCCTAATTTTATTTTTACTAACTATTTACTTTCTCAATTTATCCTTTTAACTGTCATTTGATTCATCTCATCTTTTAGTTTTAGCGGGCTCATATTACTTTTTCTCCTTTATAGAAGGTGACAATTGTAAAATAACAATTACGTTAATTATTATTCTTTTAAAACAGCTGTCAAAATCATGATGGAAATAGCAAATATTTGTAGAAAAGGTAAAGTTGCATGATGGAAATATGAACATTGAGCAAATGATGGAAAGTTATCACCGAAGATAAAATGAGCAACTATCATCACTCAAAATGTTACACCACATACCCACCTCATCTTGATATGTAACGTGAACTCCATCTGTCCCACAAAGATAGTCCACTATTATTCTATTTTGGCTCATCCGTCCCACAAAGATAGTTATGTATTTTTACTAGATGGGCATTTATTGTTTTTTGTTTCCATGTGTACCCCTACTATCAAAATTAAATAATGCTGCTAGTCTGCTACATATCAAGCTGTTAACTTTACAAAGGGTAAAATGGGAATCACATCTAAATTTAAATGTTCTAACTAGCTTAGCAATCACTTTTTAATTCAAACAAAAAGATAGTGACTATTCTGTGGGACAAAAGGAGTAGATTACAAAGGTAACCTGAATAGCTGAACCATCAACAGTCAAGTCTCTAAATACCCCAACCCCGCCCAATACCATCTTGATGTATTATCTTCTTGTGTTAGAAGAGTGAAGAATAAAACGGAAATTCAGATGGCACACAGCATGTGCACTCTTGAGTCATCATGACATACCATCACATGGACCAGGGACACACTCTTCAGGATTAGCAAAAGATGCTGACCTCACAATAACAACATTCTTGGCAGAGAGAGTCCTTTTTACAGAAGCTTGAGAGGTTCCAGCCTGCAGTAACTCAAAACACAAGCAATTGCTATACACATAGTTGTATACATTTTGGTTGAAAGAAAAATGCAACCACAAATACCACTCATTGTCTAGTGATGGGAAAAACAATTTAAACAGATCGAGTTCAGGACTGTGTTGGGCTCGCTCAACTGGCCTATAAGGGACTCAGGTCAACCAGATTGAATCTAATCTATTAGCTAATTTAACCATTGGTCTTATTATTACATTATTTGTTTTTGAGGCAGGACTCTAACACCCCCTCAAGTGGACAACCACACCATTTCGAGTTTTGTGTCTTGCTTTGGGGTTCCACATCATGATCTATGACGTCTAAAGTCCAACTTGAAAGTGATCAACAGCTCAAATTCAAAATGCCCTGTTTGTCCATTTTGGAGACTGTTAGAGTTCCACATCTAAAAACTAAAGACGATGGGTTAATAAGAGTTTGGGTTAATCCAATTAATAGGTTAAATACAATCTTTTAGTGTAGTTTGGTTCAAGTGCCTTATGGCCCTTAAGTGAACTCTACCCAATTCTAAATTCTAGCATAAACCACCACGCAAGATTAAGCTAGTGCTACAAGAATGACCACCATGCTCCAGAGAAGAAAAGACATGTGCTTACTTGTGGTTTCTTCCGCTCATTGAATGTCCTAGCAAAAGAAGAAGACTTTGCAGCAGCTTTTGTAGGTAAAGGATTGCATGTTTTCCAAGCCATGCTCGAGGCAGGATGACCTAAAAGTGGTCTTAGTAGAGCAGGATGGGAACATGGACGGATGAGAGAGCTTCTTTCACCACCAGGCGCAGCAATACTTTTCTTGAAGCTTAAAGCTTGAAGAAAGCCTCCCATTAATGAACCTCTATTTGAAGAAGCAGGAGATCTAGGCAAAGCTTTTCCACCCATGCTACTTCCAAACCCAAAATGCCTTGAAGGGATTTGAGGCAATTCATCTGCATGCTAAGAGATGGGAATGAATTTAAAATGTCATTCAAAAATTTGTGCATGTACATAGTCTTTAGACTCTAGCTCGACCAACATCTGGTATTATGAAGTATGAATGTATGATAATGCTAGTATCATTCAATCTCTATAATGTTCAGTATAGAAAGCTCGGAAATGCATCTAGGTAGTGCTTTAGAGAAGAAAAAACAAAACTTGAAGAAAATAGCATATTTTAGGTAGGTTTGATTGATCTCAGTGGTGCAAGTGTGCAACAAACTGATATTGATTGTATTATGATTTCTGATTCCATTTTAAAATGTCCATTTGATAGTATAGATAATACCGACTTGATATATAAGTATTATGGATGTGAATGACTAAGCATGTCTCAGGTGTGCTCTTTTTTGGCTCAGACAACTTAGTACCTCATGGTAAAGATCAACCGTAAGTCATTTTGACTTGATTTTTCATGCGCATGTGAGTCCATTAAGTTCTTTTATTCCCAGTAGTGTTCCATTCGTTCCATTCGCTACTGACTATATATATCCTTCATTAGTTGCAAGTGCTTTAAAAGACGTTTCAAGTAGGCTGAGCAAAGTAGCAAACAACTAATATTCAGTCTTGACTTCCTGAAATAAAACATGAACCCTCTACTCTCTAAGAAGCAAAAACCATATGTAATGTAAATCTGAGAAATCGTAGAAAGGAAGATACTCTATAAAACAAAACAAAAAAACACTCGTCATATAAAAGGATTAGGGAAATGTGAACCTGTGGGGGCAAAGGGGAAGGATCGCCATTTGCAACTGAGCTAGAGCATCCATCTGCATGTAATGATTTGGGTGTTTCCATATCTGTGTAATAAGGATTAAGCAAGAGCCAACGAGATTGAAAAATAGTGTTTTATGAAATGTGGCCTTTCTTGCATATCCGTTTACTGGACGATAAATCACAGGAAAAGGCCCCAATGTCATCGATGATTGAGGTGGAAGAAAACCCTGGGGACCATAGATGTTTTGCACGCCACTCTGTAATCAGGAACCCGCAAGGCTGCAACGTTTCGGTAGAAATTTTACTAAAATAAAATTGGGAAATTATATTACCGTGAATATGAGCAAAAATGTTTGTGTTAAAATATTTTTTTTTTATTACTTAAATAGGAGTAAATACTGAAACAAAGACAGATTTACGGGATATTTGAGCTCCCACTCCGGCTCCTATATCCTACACCCGGGTGTATGTACACCCGGCCCAACTAAAAGAGAGAGTCCAATAACTAATAAAGGCCAAAAAAATTCGGTGTCATTTTTGTAATTTAGGCGAAAAATCACGGCTTTCGCTAAATGAGCAATATTGTAACTTTAGTGAGCATCCAAACTACTTTATTGAGTATTAGGTGGCTTACAATGAGTATCACGATCTCTACTTCATATCTTCTAATTTTTGTTCTTTTTCTTATTTTTTCTTTTATAAAAACTTGTTAAATTATATTTAGAACTCACTCCTATTAATTTGAATATATGAATCCAATGTAATATGATACTTTAGAAATATGCATTGATATGACATTTTATAAATGAGCATAATATAAATACCAAATGAGCATACATAACTTACAAAGTGCACATTGATATGAAAATCGTAAGGTTTGTTAGATGAACATCATGACATTTGAATTGAGCATCAAACCTCACCTATTGAGATGAAAATCACGGGTTTTGTTAAATGAGCATTAATGAACTTTTAATGAGCATCAGACAAATTCTGTTGAGTATTAGAATTCCAATATTAAGCATTGTGAATTTTGCTTCATAACTTCTGATTCACTCTTTTTTTGTTATTTTTTCTTTTATAAAAACTTATTAAATTATATCTATGATCAAGTCTTATGAATTTCGATATGCGAATCTAATATAATGTACTAATGTCATTTTAAAATGAGCATACAACCAAAACCGAATGAGTATACACAATTTACAAAATGAGCATCGAAAAATTCAAAAGCTCATTTCAAATCTCCAATGAGCTCAAATGTTCATTAATGTTAAATAAATGCACATTTACTTAAAATGGTATACTCAATATCGTATAACACACAATTCATTTTAAAAACCTCCATGAGTACTCATAACTCATTTTAGAACATTATATCAATACACATTTCATGTAAACATTATACTCATTTGAGTACAAGATAAAACTCATCCAAAAGTATTATTTGCAAATACCCTTAATATGATTAATTCTTTTACTCAATTATGAGTATATTTGATAATGAGAAATATTAAGAAAATTTATTTATAATAAGTAGTTTTTATATAAAAGCATCAAACAATGATATAATTCATAATTCATCATGATAAGAATGAACATTCACTTTGGAAATTTATAAGGGAGATGAGAATATCCTCATGGGGTAAATTTGAGCTAGCGATTTCCTGTTTCCCAAACATGGCGGCAAATTTTTTGAATCAAAAACCTTGCTCACCAAAAACCCTGGTTCATGCGCAGCTTCCGATATTTTTCTTTTAATTTTTTGGATACTTTTGAAAATCAGAGTTACTATTAATCGTCTTTCTTAGATGTTTTCAACGGCGTGACCCTCTTGTGATACGAAATTCAAACACATGAACCACTTCGATAAAAAATGAAACATATGACCCTATCTGAAAACGGGCTCAACAACAAGTATATTTTTTGTACTTTTCCCTAGAAAAAAATATTGATACCTAAAGTATTTTATAATGCACAATTTAAAGAAATATTTTACTTATAAAAGAAGGCTAATTTTTTTTTGAACGGAAGGAAGGTTGATTTGAAAAAGGGAAAAAATAATGGAAAAGGTCTTTAAGGCAAAAAGCAAAAAAAAAAATCAAAAGAAAGAATCTAGGTATGAAGGAGAAAAGGAAGGAAATATGGCAAGCCTGATAATAGCCATTCAAACAAAAAATAATTACAAAAGAACCGGGTGTATATTTACACCCGGATGTACCATATAAATTGCCCTCCCACTCCCAAAATACGGGAGTCAGAATTAGGTTTCCATTTTACGGGAAACATGGGTAGGGAATCCAAAAAACGTAGGGTGTTGGGGAAAATACAACCCTCCAAATTGTGGATTTGCAGTTCGTATACCATGCAACCGTCCCACGGTGCGCATGGTATACCATCTCAAATTGCAGTGGGCTTTGTTATTTTTTATTTCTCCTTTTCTTAAAAATGTTAATAATTTTTTTATTTTTGATCCGATTTTTATAAAATTTATATCAAAATTTTTTATTTTTCATAATCTTTCAAATCAGACCAATATTGCCTATGTAATTTTAACATATTAACATTTGCGTGTACAAATATGTAACTTTACGTGTTAAAATATGTAACTCACGTTCAGTCAGGCCAAATGCAACTCGTGTGTATAAATATGTAACTCTACGTGTAAAAATATGTAACTTTACGTAAAAAAAAAATGTAACTCGCGTTCAGACAGGTCAAATGCAACTCGTGTGTATAAATATGTAACTCACGTGTATAAATATGTAACTTTACGTGTAAAAATATGTAATTTGACGTGTAAATATATGTAACTCACGTTCAGGTAGGTCAAATGCAACTCATGTGTATATACATGTAACTCACGTGTAGAAATATGTAACTTTACGTGTAAAAATATGTAACTTCACATATAAAAATATGTAACTCACATGTATAAATATCTAACACAATGATTTTTTTATATACAAAATTTTAAGATAAATTGTGATTTACACAATTATTTTTCTGTATTAAATTTAGTTCGGTTTTCCTTATAATCCAATAATCATTTATACAATAGTTCCATAATTTGTTAAAATTACATAAGCAATATTGGTCTCATTTGATAGATCATGAAAAATAAAAAAATTTAATATAAAATTTATAAAAATCAGATATGAAATAAAAAAGTTATTACAATTTTTAACAATAAAAGAAATAAAAAATCATGGAACCGGGCCACAATACTTCGTCGTTTTGAAACCGGGTTCACTATCCTCATGGTGCGCCGGTTGCACGATATAATCTGCGGTGGATTTGAGGAATCCAAAATATGTATTATTTATTTTGTGATCTGTGCCCGTGCAATCATGGTGCAGGTGGCAGAGCCCTTTACACTTCTGATACAAGAATCCATCCTACATTTTGGATTCAATGAATCCATAAGTTTATTTTGTTGATTAAAATAAAGGATTGTGAAGCAAGAATTGTAAAGCTTTATTCTAATTGGACAAAAAAGATGTGTATGAATCCCCATCTCTAATCCTTTTCAACCATAGGATGTCACAAATCCATCACAATCCTCCAATTTTTTATACGAAAATTGGAAATATCCTCTCCCCAGCCTATACCCTTGTCTATATAAATCCCATCAACATCAAATTCAACCTCCTATATACAAACAAATTTATCTAGAAAAATATTGTTGAGTGTTGTTGCTAATTCTATTTGATGTGTTCTTCAAATTAAGGTTAGAATATTTTTCTACTAATAAATAAATTTTAATAAGTAGTAAACCTATATATATTTGCTTATATAATTACCTATTAGTTTAGTTTATTTGTTATTATGAATTATTGATTATGTTCCATCCAAAATAAATTATTGATTACGATTATTAAACAATTAAATAATAATTTGAGAAATTTGTTATGTTATATAAATACATGTACACTAATACAATAGCATTTAATTAATTGGTTAAACAAACCGTTATGGCAATAATTATGTTAAAATTAACGCAAGCTCGTCTAGAACTAGTCCATTTCTAGTTTCTGGCAAAGCTTTTGTCTAGAACTAGTCCTTTTCTAGTTTCTGGCACGATGAGAATAGTGCTCTACGGCAAGTCTAAAATTTATTTTGGTGCATATATTATAATTGTACTATACTTGTTATGTTATCACAAACTCGTCTAGAACTAGTCATTTTCTAGTTTCTGGCAAAACTTTTGTCTAGAACTAGTCATTTTCTAGTTTCTGGCATGATGAGAGTAGTGCTTAGTGACAAGTCTAAAATTTATTATCGGTACATATATTATAATTGCATTACACTAGTAAAATTATCACAAGCTCGTCTAGAACTAGTCCTTTTCTAGAATCTGGCAAAGCTTTTGTCTAAAACTAGTCATTTTCTAGTTTTTGGCACAATAAGAATAATGGTATGTGGCAATTCTAAAATTTATTATTGATACATATATTATATTATAATTGCATTATACTATTAAAATTATCACAAGGTCGTCTAGAACTAATCCTTTTCTAGTTTCTGGCAAAGATTTTGTCTAAAATTAGTCATTTTATAGTTTTAATTTAATTTAAGAATCTTACCTCATTATAATATATATAACACTAATATAATATTTATTTATTTTATGATAGTGGATATACGAATGGATGCACAAATACCTCTTATGGACCCGATTGATCGTTCTGTGCTAGTGATGGCACCCAATGCACATCGGGCCGACCGTGTCTGGAATGATGCTACATTCCTTGACACGAATTTGAAGTGTATAACATTCCCTTCATCGGCGAAAAGTAAAGGCCCACGTCACCCTGGAGTGGTAACGTTGTTGAGGGCCTCCGAATTTATGGCGTTGACGACCTCAGAAAGATAAAGTTAGATTGGGCGCTTATAACGGCGTTGGTCAAGAGATGGAGACCGGAGACACACGCTTTTCATTTGCCTTTTGGTGAGGTGGGCATCACCTTACAAGACGTAGAGGTGTTGTTGGGGTTGCCAGTTGATGGAGAACCATTGTCCGGACCTTTGACGAGTTCGGTGGCGGCTTGGGTGCAAATGTGCACAAACTCTGCCGGCTTCACTCCCGCCGCCGCAGACATATCCACATCCATAATAAGAATGAATGCCCTACAACGCTGGCCGATGCATCAACACAGCACAAATGAATAACTCATTATACACACAAGGGTACTCATTTGGCAACTACTAGGTGGATTATTGTTCCCCATCACTAGTGGGAACAAAGTCAAAATGTACTTTCTAGAGATGTTGCAGGGACCACTCAGC